TAGGCATATGTCTTATCTTCCCAATTAGATAAACTCTTTGGGGAGGGTAGGAACATGTAGAATAATTCACTATATTCACCACAAAACCAGTATGAGTGTATGACAGATTCTTGATAGATTCCTAATTATTTAATTAGCATCAAGGGAAAAATGACAAGGGAAAATATTTGAAGATGAGAACATTCAATGATGTAATTGTCAATGTTTATATTATAATTGACATCACTCAAACAAAAGCTACTTTTAAATATATATATGTATATAGTGTGTGTGTGTGAATCTATACACAAAATCTGTCATAGAAGCAGCATATGGAAGTGGTTGTTGGGCAGGAGATAAAATTAAAATGGTATTATTTAGTAAGGGATGGGGATTGAGGGACAAAAATACCTTAATCCAATCCTTAACTCCAAACCTTGAGCCCCTTGAAAGAAATAAATCCATAAAGGACAAGCAAGAAATAGAAGACAAAAATTTTAAAAAGAAAAAATTAGCACCGAGATATGGTGCCAGTTCCCATGTAGATCTTCTAGCAGTCAGGATTCTGAAATCAGATGATAATTTGAGGAGAATGGAATAAAGGACTATTTATAGATGTGTAGGCAGTAAATGTGGAAACCTACAAGGATTAGATTATCCACCCTCATTCCACCCCCGACTCCCCCAGCAAGGAATAGCTGGTGATCATCCTGATCCCTTAGGCCCAGGAAAGTGAAGAAGAGGAACAGATCCCTAGGCCTCAAGAGGACTTCACACAAAGGGACGTCTGACAGGAACCATAGCCTTCCACAGAGTGAGGCAGAACCCCACAGTGACCCAGCAGAGAGGAGAGGGGAAATACCCTCTCCAAGAAGATGGAAGGCAAGGGAGTTTCCTGAAGTAGTTTGCCCTGAGCAGGGTGAGGAGGGATAGGAAGATCGCTGCTTGCCTAAGTAGGACCATGGAGAGGACAACACCTTTCCCTATAAGAAAGCAGGCCAGGTGGTCAGGCTAGTCCTTTTCCACACCTGAGCTACAGCGCTGACTTATCAATGAAGGGAAAGACAGATGCCCGTTAAATTTGGATTCCAGACCAAAAAAAAA